AAAAAAAAAAAAAAAAAGAAACTGATAATTTTGAAGAAAACAACCTATTGAAAGACGTTAAATTTTCGCAATAGACTGAATTTGAACAACGTTATAGTTCAAAACGTACATAGTAGGTGTACCTATAGTTGGTGTAGTGGACACCAGAATTTCAAGATAATAATATTGTTGCTATGCTTACTAAATAATTAAATTAATAAATAAGGACATTTAATTATTTTTCCATCACAATACATAATGATGTAGATCTTAATATTAATCTTATAATATTGACATAAGCTTGTTTCTTCTCTTCACTTCACTTTGGTTCTACATAGGGTTAATGCAGTTTACCTGACAATACAATGATGAAAGTCAGGAACCCAAACTAAGATAACCCGTGCTTTGGGCTTCTGTTTATTTTTAATACTATTTTTAAAATGTATTTAATTTTATAAGTATTTTTATTTGATAAAAATGATTGAAAACAATACCATAACCATAAGTAGCTATTATATCTAATAATGGTTTAGTGGCTTACATCTTGGGGAAATTATAAACGTAATTTGATTATTGCTTAAGTTTTTACTAGTACTATATAGTACTCGTGAGATATTGATGTTATTGACAATGTCATATATCTTGTTTAAGTGCAACAATGTTCAATGATTAAACAGTGTTGTTTGTCAACACAACTCCTTCTTTGAACGTCTACTAGTATAATTAGCGAGGATGACGCTACCTATACAATTAAATAGATCGGACTAACTTACCTGTGACGTCCGATCCTCAATTGTGTAGGTAGCGTCATCCTCGCTAGGTCCCAACCCTTCCCGGATAATAAACATGTTTATTTTTACCCCTGGTCGAGTTGTGTTGCAGTTGCAGGTGCTTTGAAGTAAATGATGTTGCCAGTGAGATGACCATAGAGTATAAATATTTTTTTTATGAATGTGTTCATCTTTAAATATTGTGACAGCGTGCCCAGATTAGTGCCTACTACTAGTATAATTAGCGAGGATGACGCTACCTACACAATTGAGGATCGGACGTCACAGGTAAGTTAGTCCGATCTATTTAATTATTTATGTTAAGAAATTTGTTTATAAAAATAACTTGTCCTAGAATTAGTAATATTGTGAGTCCTCCTCTCGCCTGTGACACAGGATATTCTTCGTAGTACAGGCATTCAAACTTGGTGAGATCTTTGATTTTAAAGTAAGATGTTTATCTATACTATGGCTAATTTATAACATTGAATAAAGATTTTATTATTTAATCATTCTCTATAATTTCACTAGGTGAACAGAGAGAAGCAGACCCTGGAGGTGGACGAGGAGTTAGAGAATGTGGAGTTGGAGGAATTGCAGGACATCCTGCCCTCACACCAGCCACGGTTCATTGTGTACAGGTTAGCGGAAAGATTTATTCAGATTATTTTTGTGGAGTATGTAAACGAAGAGTCAGATCACCTGATGGTAAGCAATCAGCGCCGCCCATGGACACTCGGAACACTAGAGGTGCGACAAGTGCGTTACCGGATTTTTGTGGATTTGATAATTATTGGGGATTCGGGGATTGGGGAGATTGGGGAGGAGGATAATAGAGCCACCAGTACCTAACCTTTCTCACAAGACGAAGCGCAACGCAAGTGTTGTTTCACTATAGTTTCCTGCTCGGTGGTGGTGCTCCGGTCGTGCCCGCCCATTCATGCCGAAGCGTGACTCTTCCATACTTTATTCTGTTTAACTGGGGCAACTGGGACTGGTATGGGTATGGTATGGTGGCGTCCGGCCCTAGTGCGGGTCATGATGCGGAGCGAAGGGGACTGCTATGCCATCTCCTCTATTTAAGTCTTCCTCGCCACAGTAAGTAGGCAGTGAAAAATTTGTGTTAGTATTTCATTATAATCACACTTCTGCCTAAGAAGTAACCACAGATATAATAAAGATATTTCTGCGGAAGTAACACACATATTATAATGTTTCAGCTACAAGATGGAGCACGATGACGGGCGTGTGTCCTTCCCGATGTGTTTCATATTCTACACGCCCAGAGATGCGCATATGGAGCTGCAGGTATGTTGAACTCTAAGTTATACAAGTTGACTTGTAACTCGACGTATTCCTCTCGGGAGGTGATAATACAAATAATTTCCTACAAAATTACCCGGACGGGCGTGTGTCCTTCCCGATGTGTTTCATATTCTACACGCCCAGAGATGCGCATATGGAGCTGCAGGTATGTTGAACTCTAAGTTATACAAGTTGACTTGTAACTCGACGTATTCCTCTCGGGAGGTGATAATACAAATAATTTCCTACAAAATTACCTTTGGGGGGGGGGGGATCATCGAATGACTGCTCCCGCCCGGGTGAGGCGAGAGGGAGTGTCAGACTGACTAAAAACCACCCCGTTCCTACTCTGAGGTCTCTGGTTCAAAAGTGACTAGTTTCTGAGATAGTGAACATTTTCGGTTTTGGTGAAAAAAATCACAATCGAACTATAAAAACATCAATAAATAAAAAACTACTGGTTTGATTCAAGTCATTTTAGTTTTAATTTGTTGTCAGTACATAAATAAACATTTATTAATACTAATACTAGCAGAAATATCATTCGTTTTAAAATAGCAAGTCAATTAGTATTAAATTTTGTTTTGAGTCACTAATTTGGTTGATAGAAAACTGCATTTACCGACTATTAAAAAACTTACTTGGTTTATTAGCTACCAAAAATACTAAAATATTTATGAAATTCTTAAAAATGAAATAATAACTTGATGATAAGTAAAGTGTAAAAGAAAACGCACAATTTCATAAACATCATTATTAACAAAATTTTTATGGCATAAGCCGGTAAATGAACAGACGGATCACCTGATGGTAAGCAATCTGCGTCGCCCATAGACACCTGGAACACCAGAAGCGTTTCAAGTGCGTTACTGGCTTTTTGGGAATTAGGAGTTTGAGAATCGTTGGGGATTCAGGGATTGGGGAGATTGGGGAAGGGGAAGGTAATTGGGCCTCCGGTAACCTCACTCACACAACGCAAGCGTTGCTTCACGTCGGTTTTCTGCTCGGCCGTGGTATCACTCCGGTCGAGCCGGCCCATTCGTGCCGAAGCATGGCTCTCCCACACTTAAGAGATAAATGATAAATGATACTCACGCACGTTTATTTATTTTTAACAGTCACAACGGCAGATAATCCTATTACAGTGACTGACATATTTATAACAATAAAACTTAAACAAAAGAAAAGTAAAACTTAGTTAAAACGTTCTTTATCTCTGTGACTGTCACTCTTGGACTGAATGAGCGTCTTATTTCGTCAGCTAAAGCAAAAGTTTTTTCACATTTCCGATAATTTTCAGCAATAACAGTAGCACATATTCTAAAACACATTATAGTAAGGATTTAGCTGTAACTGCCTCGTTGGCCGAGTGGTCGTAAGTGCGGCTGCTGAGCAAGGGGTCTCGGGTTCGATTCCTGGGTCGGGCGAAGTATTACTGGGTTAAAAATTCGCAATAGTAGCACGGAGTCTGGAATTATGGCTGGTATATAATTATGGCAATAGGTTCACCCCCTATTATTTATTTATTTATTTATTTATTTGGACATCCAGTTGTTGCTACATTTTCATCATTAACTTAAAATTAGGAATTAACATCTTACTGCTAATGCACAACATTTGAAGGACATCACAGCATGCGTTGAGTCGAGAACACTATATCAATTAAATTAAAATTTATCTAATTTCTCTACATTACCAAATTTACAATAAATAAGAATTATATAATTAGTAACAACTTTTGTTATCACTCATTATACAATAGTCAACCCTGAATACAAAAATATAAATACAAAACAAAAGAATAATCAAAGATCAAAACAAAGGACACAGTCATTAAAAGCTCAATAACAAAAAAATAACATTAAAATAAATAGATAAAATCGGTTGCGGAACAAATCAAGTCAACAGCAACATAATAAAACAAGTCAACAGCACACCACAACACTAAGCTTCATCTCTCAACAATCCCAGAACAGCTTTTTTGAATTTTGGCAATCTATCACTAAACAAATCAACCCTCTCACAGACAGAGTTATAGGCTCTAGAAAGACGAGAAATGGTGGAGAACCTCTTTAGGTTGGTTCTGGCAGATGGCTGGTGTAGTAAACCCGCATTAATTAGTGCGCGCCTAGGCACACGTCGAGGTACACGCAAATTGAACAAGCCTAATAGTGGCGGACAGTCAAACTCGTTTCTTAGTACCTTGTACATGAACGTTATGTCAAGCAGTTTTCTACGAACAGTCAAGCGGTCCATCCTGAAATGTCTCAGTCTTTCGCTATACGATACCAAGCTTTTGTGCAGCCCACTGGCAAATGTTAGGTGTCTTAGGAAACGTTTCTGTATGCGTTCAACTCTAACTTGATGCACATTATACTGAGGCGACCAAACCACCGAGCAATATTCCAGTTGACTTCGCACATAGCTGTTATATAAAGTAATTTTAGTGGTTGGGCTGCGAAATAGTTTGCTGTTACGTATAATAAATCCCAGCATCTTTGACGATTTATTAATAATACTGTCAATGTGTGGCAAGAACGTCAACTTCGAATCGAAGATCACGCCCAAGTCCCTCATCTCAGCTTTCCGCTGCAATGTAGTTCCATCGACGAGGTATTGACTCTGTATCATGTTGTGGCTACGCGTGAAAGTAACTGTGTAGCACTTGTTTATATTCAAAGACATTCTGTTTACACTGCACCAGGTGGTTATGGCATCGAGATCTGCTTGAAGTAAGTTCCTGTCTGTGTGTTCAATCAAAGTTTTGCATCTTGGAGCCAGTTAGTCAGGCTGGTTTTAAGTTTGTGTCTGCTTAGTCCAGCGATATTCAGTTTCTTGTGGATGTCGTTGTATAATTTAATGCTCATATTTTTAAATTGTCTTCTGGCAAAGGAGGTCTTACAGAGAGTGCGTGGGCATACAGACTTCCCGTTACGTTTGCCTGGATCGGGACGGGGGATGCTTCGGTGTCTTCTCATGGTGGACTTGAGCACAAAGAGCTGTCGAACTGTTAAGACCTTGCAGTCTGAATAAAGTTTTTCGGTGGAGTATCTATAAGGCTTTTTGGTCATTACTTTGAGCACAGCTCTCTGTGCTCTTTCCAGTCTGAGAAGGAGCGTCTTGCCAGCGCCACCCCAAACCGGAATGCAATACTGAATAATGGACTGACAAAGGGCCAGATAGATGAGTTTTAGTTTCTCAAATGGAACACAGTCTCTGAGTGTTTTAAATATATGTATAAGTCTCCTCACTCTGGAGGTGACTGTGTCTATCTGCTTGTCCCACCTCAGTCCACCATCAATATATACACCTAGGTACTTGACATGCTCGGCTCGTTCGATTTGTTGGCATGTACAGACTTCCCGAAGAGAGCAATTATGGGCTATGATAGAGAAGTTTTGTGGTGGGGAATTAGTTTTCCTGATCGAGAAGGCAACATAGTGTGTTTTGGAGAGGTTTAACGTCAGCAGGTTGTTTGAAAGCCAGTTCATGATTTTAGATAGGGAATATTCGGCTATCTCCTTTACGGCATTCCAGTTCGGACCCCAGACGAAGATTGCTGTATCGTCTGCATACGTAAAGATGTTAGTGTTTGGAAGAGAGATTCGACAGAGATCATTTATGTAGAGTTGAAAAATGGTTGGGCTTAAAATACTCCCCTGTGGAACACCGTACGACACTGTAACCTCATCGCTATTCATACTACCTACTTTAACTTGTTGTTTTCTATTGGATAAGTAGTCCTTAAGTATATTGAATGCATTACCTCGTATGCCTAGTTTTTCCAACTTGGCAAGGAGGATGGGAACAGAGACCGTGTCAAATGCTTTAGAGAGATCCAGGAAGATACATAAGCATTTGTTTTTAGTGTCCAAGTTTTTAGCAATTTCTGTTGTCAAGTCAATTACGGCATCCTCGGTAGAGTAACCAGAGCGAAAACCGTATTGATTCTTAGCTAATATTTTAAATTTCTCCAAAAATCCCTTGAGTGACTGATTTAGAATTTTCTCAAGAATTTTCGAGATGCAGGAAAGAACCGCAATAGGGCGATAATTGTTGACACAGTCTCTGTCCCCATTCTTGTAAATCGGGTGTACTATCGCTTTTTTGAGCATTTCTGGAAAAACTCCTGAGCTTATTGCGAGGTTACAAATATGGGTGAGGGGAGGTATTAGGGTGTGACGACAAAATTTTATTATTTGTGATGAGATCCCGTCCCATCCCGTGGCACAATCAGAGCGTAGTTGCATTATTATGAGTTCAATATCCGACTCTTCTACTTCTAAAAGAGCTATTGAATTAGTCGGGCTATTTAGAGAGGCCAGATTTTTAGGACTTAGTGTTTCTGGATTGTTGCTTTGGGCGGGTGTGGAGGCGAGTATTTTGTCTGCCAGGTTTTTTCCTATGCTAGCGAAAAAACCGCAAACGTGATTCACAGATGTTTTGGGGTCATTGTGTGATTGAAGGAGTTCTGTGGCATTAACTTTAACTTTTTGAGTGTTTGTTATATTTTTAATTGCTGTCCAGAGGGCTTTTGTATCATTACCAGCTTTGTCAATTAGGCTTTTTTCGTAAGTAGTCTTTAGTTTACGTAGAAGGCTGTTGCAAAAATTTCTGTACCGCGTGTAGATTAATTTAGTGGTCATGTTGTCTGGCGATTTTTTGGCTTTGCTATGCAGTCTATCTCGATGCTTCATGCAACGGAGTAATCCTGGTGATATCCACGGCTTTAAGATTCTGCATTTTCTAGTTACTGTGACGGTTTTAGTATTATCCCGTATGACATTTGAGATGGTAGTTATAAGTGTGTTGGTAGCTAGGTTTGCATCATTAGTTTTAAACACGTTTGTAAAATCGGCGCTCTCTAGATCTGTTTTTATTTTGTCGTAGTTTAAAAGAGTTTTAGTTGTATCCGGTTTACGGGAAGAGGTATTTGTTTCTATGGATAGGATTATTGGCAAATGATCTGTTACGTGGGATTCAAGTACTAGAGTTTTAGCGAACAAATTAGGTTTTGTGAGAAAATGGTCTAGGCAAGTTGTTTTTCTCGTGGGGAAGGTGTGGGTTGGGAAAAGTCCGTGGGTCGCATTGAAGGTCAAATATTCATCACGTAGGGGGTCGGAGCTGTTAGTACATATGTCGATGTTAATGTCGCCAACTACGACTATATCGGTGGGTAGGCTGTCGTACACTTCGGATAGGCTACTTACAAAGTTGTTGAAGTTTTCTCGGGTCTTTAGAGAAGGTGAACGATATACAGCCACGATTGAAATTTTTTGTTCTATTTGACAAATCAAACAACTTGCGTCTTTAAAAGTTGGTTCGCGCATTTTACATGACAGGTTTGTTTTAGCGTAGATAACGACACCGTCATTCTGATTGAGCGCGGAGTTTGTGGAGTAAGCAGTGTACCCCTCTAAAGTAGGTAAGTTAGCTATTCCGCGTAGCCAACATTCAGTCAGAATAACGACGTCGAATGTTAGATCGGTCATTGTTAGTAGTACTCGCAGTTGGTCAAAGTTCTTGTTAATGCTACGGATGTTAATATGAAATAATTTGATGGCATCGTTCGGTTGAGAAAGGAATGATCTGCAGTCCTCCGGTCGACAGACATATGAGTTTGTGAGCTCAAGTGAGTCTAGTTCTGTGTTAATATTGTTAATGTTGGCCATTTATTATAAAGATAGATGTCAGGAGGTGCCATACGTCGCGATGATGGGGTAAATAGTTGTGATAGTGAGTGTAAGCCTAGAGTTGTGGTTGTATAGTATGTAGTTGTGTGAGTGTGATTTGTGTGGGTTGGTTGATCGTATGTAAGTTTAGTGGAAATGGTCCTTTTTACAATATTTTTATAAAACCTTTTACAAACAGTTTTGTTATGATTTTTTAATACATTAGTACGAGCGGCAACTATGGATATAAACTCGGTAATTAAAAATAGGGGATGACAGTATAGCAAAGTTAATAGTGTATGAATAATTAGTCACAAGTTTTTCTTCAGATCCATGAGACATTGTTCTGAGGAAATTAGTACTTGTTTATCCCCCTGTTCTTTGCGAAGGAAGATATTCCCATTGGAGGTCCAGCAGAATTTAAATTTGTTAAGTTTGGCGAATTCTCTGGCTGCGTGAAACAGTTTCTTAGAGCTCATGGGTAAATAGTCTGCAACAAACACTGGTTGTCGTTTCCCGGGGATGTCAATCAGCGTTGTGTTGAGTTTATCTTCCACAGTTTTGTGTTTATTATTAAATTCTCGAATAGCGGTCAAGGTATTCGACTTCATTTGGACGGTCTGGAACTCGACGACAATCGGACGGGTTGAGCCATCTTTGCCCGGCAAGCGATAAATGTCTCTTAAATCCGTGTCAGAGATTTTAATTCCAACAGCCTGTCTATTACATGGGACTCATAACATAAATAGTAAAGTGTGGGTGTTACACTGTACAGTAGCATTAAGTATCGTATAGTGCACCTCTGCAGCTCCAGAGATTAAAGGCTTGATGTCATGTTATCTTTATCAATTTAATTTAACAAGTCTACTGTCTCTGTACTGAATCAATCTTTATCCTTACTAATATTATAAATCGGAAAGTGAGTTTGTTTGTTTGTTCCATTTTCACGCCGTAACTACTAAACCGATTACTTTGAATTTTTGCAAACGTAAAGTTAGAAGTCTGGATTAAATAATAGGGTACTTTTTATCCCGGAATAATTTGATATACTCGAGGGAAAACGAAATTATTGGTATAGATGGCGCTGTGAGTATTGGTATATGTCACATAGGCTACTTTTTATCCTTTTGTGACGTGAGCGAAACCGCGGGTACAAGCTAGCTTATATATAATTTGTTTAAACATTTACCATTTCTTTAGCCCGTAAGAAATTATAGAAATCATATTTGAAACTTCACAGGTAATGTACGCCGGCACCCAAAGGGCGCTAGCGGCGGCAGTGGGCGCCCCCCGTCTGCTAGAAGTGAGAGAAATAGACGAACTGACTGCTGACTGGCTGAACGAAAAACTGAAGAAATAGACTGACAATCAGTAAGTCAGTATTGTAGATGGAGACGTTTTATACATTTGTATTAATAATATTATATTAGTATGTATAGGTACTGTGAAACGAGGTGAATGGCGGCAGAAGAAAGTATAAATTAGGGTATCGGAGGCCCAATTACCACCCCCCTCTCCCCAATCCCTGAATCCCTAAAAATCCTCAAATTCTTAATCCCAAAAGCCTGGTAACGCACTTGTAACGCCTCTGGTGTTTCGGGTGTCCAGGGGCGGCGCCGATTGCTTACCATCAGGTGCTCCTATCTATATCCTCCTAAGAAAAGTGAATCTATAGTATCTACTAGCTTCTGCCAGCGGCTTCGCCCGCGTGCCCGTGGGTTAAACTAGCCTGTGTTATTCCAGACCATAATGTACCCCTGTTCCAAATTCCATTCCGATCCCTTCAGCCGTTTTGATGTAATTAAGTAAAACTATGCTATTAAGATTCACCTCTTGGTTCCTATTCACCTCGCTTTACCCATAATAATGACATACATATTTAAGCATTTACATATTAGTGAAAAACATAATATATATATATATATAGGGTAAGACAAGTATGTAAGACAATATTTTATAAGCAAAAGATACTTTCCGCTCCCGGTTTCGTTCGCTCACCTTTTGACCACCAAAATTGTGTAGTTTCTATGGTATCAAAATTAAACATCTAATTAGTCCGTCAGTTACATAATGAAAAAATATTAGACACGTATTTTTTTATTTTCTCGTATTAAGTTGCAATACTTAGATAAAATGGCGCTAAGTTTAGGAGTGGGACAGGACCTACAGGAGCCTCCTCACCTGCTACAAAATGTGACACGCTGTGACGTCACACTATATTACAAATTAATATATCGTCGAAAGTATTTAATTTTGTGAGAAAAGAAAAAATAAGTGTCTAAAGTTTTAAATTAATGTACCAGACGGACATTCAAATAAAATATAGGATACCCTATTAAATAATAAATTTTAAATTTAAAACTCGAAATTACTGACCATGAGTCCTACATCCCTGACTCGTGATCAGCCAATGTTTATATACTGACTGGTTCTCGAGTGGGGAACAGTATTATTGGTGTTTATATTTATATAATTATTGTTAGTAGATATATAGCCGTACTCAAAGTCATTGAATCATTACTCAAACTATTCCTAAGTGACGATTTTGTTCCAACAACAATAGGGTAGATGCCTAATTTCTATTTTAACGTCTGTCTGGTAGATTATTTTAAATCATTATACATGTATTTTTTATTTTCTTACAGAAACGAATACTTTCGACGATATATTGATTTGAAATGTCGCGTGACGTCACTTCTATGTACGTTTTGTACGTAGAAATGACGTTTTAGCCCCCACTCCTAAACTTTGATTCGTTTTATATAAGTATTGTTTTCTTATATGATAAAATAAAAATGTATGTGTCTAATATTTTTTCATTACCTAACTGACGGACTAATAATTCGATTTTTAATTCTCATATCGTCACTATCTTGAGACATACTAAATTAAGTAAAATCGCGGGCTACTCACGTGAATATACTGAGAAAAGCTCTACTAGTTTCGAGCCACTGAGGGGTTCTTCCTCATGAGCAGCGTGCGTGGTCGCGGTGACGTCGCGCAGCTGGAAACTAGTAGAGCTTTTCTCAGTATATTCACGTGAGTAACCCGCGGTTTTACTTAATCTCATATCATCATCCCTATTGTCAACATTGAATGACTGATAGTACGGTGGTTATTTCTTAATGTTTAGTTTAATTTAAATTTGTAAAATCTGGTTTTAAAAGCTGACTGCAATAGATAAAAAGCATTATAATAAAATGGTAATAATATTAATATATCTATATCCGAATATAAACTAACTAGGAGCGCAGGATCTTTCACTGCTCGACTCCTGTTGACCATAGCGTGATGATTATAGCTTATAGCACGTAGCTGCTATAATGCTATTAATCTATACATCTATACAGATAAATAAAATTGGATTGTCTGTTTGCAATATTAAAATACTAGCTACCCGCCCCGGCTTCGCACGGGTGCAATATGTGCATGTATTCTACATATAAAACTTCCTTAAGAATCACTGTATCTATTAAAAAAAATGGTCGGTAACGCACTAGTAACTCCTCTGGTATTCCAGGTGTCCATAGGCGACGCCGAGTGCTTACCATCAGGTGATCCGTCTGCACGTTTACCGGCTTATTCTATAAAAAAGAAGAGCTTGCATTTCTTACCATACCTATATTTTTTTAAATAATTTGAAAAAAAAACAGAAAATATTTCATATTAAAACAATTAACTGTTACTAACTAAGAACCTACTTTTTTCTTTTGTTCATAACATTAAAATATACTAAATTATATATTTAACATACAAAAGCATTCGAAACGGCTGGTATCACGCATTCAGCTCGTATTTATGAGCCCCGATCGTGGTTTGAAACTAGTTGAGTATCCTCGAATAGTTATGGAAGCAGTATATTGTATTTATATTAGCATAAGTGATAAGATAACATTATATATGTTAATATGTGTGTGTATTAGAAATAATATATTTAGGCTACATAGATTTTTATATGATATAGAATGTTAAATCTTATTATTTAGCGATAAAGTATTTTTTTCTATATATAAAGCTTAGTTTAAGTCATTTTTGACACCTCTGCCGATCCCTTGGAGGTTTTCGGTGTTCTTAGCATTTATTCGTCTGTTTTTTGCCATAACTAATATAGTTTTAATAATAATTCTAGCATTTTATAGGCAATAGGGAAGATGACTAATTTCTATTTTACTGTTCGTTTGGTAGATTATTTAAAATCATTAGACACGTATTTTTTATTTTCTTACAGAAACGCATACTTTCGATGGTATATTGATTTGAAATGTCGCGTGACGTCACTTCTATGTAGGTACATTTTATACGTAGAAATGATTTTCATGACTCTCATTTTAAATCATTAGACACGTATTTTTTATTTTCTTTCAGAAACAAATACCTACTTTCGACGATATATTGATTTGAAATATCGCGTGACGTCACTTCTATGCACGTTATATGCGTAGAAAGAAATAACGTTTCCGCTCCCACTCCTAAACTTTGATTCGTTTTATCTAAGTTTTGTTTTATTATACGACAAAATAAAATAGTACGTGTCTAATATTTTTTCATTGCCTAACTGACTAACTAGATTTTTAATTTTCATACCCTGTCATCATCCCTATTGTCTCACCCCCCCTATTACACGGGACTCATAACATAAATAGTGAAAAGTGGGTGTTACATTGTGTATGTGGACCTCTGTATACCCCTTCAACGATAGAAAGCTATTTGAGTTTAATATTTCGTCTCTTTCACTCGTATTGAAATAAGAGTTTGTAAGAAAGAGACAAAATATAAAATTTTTGACAAATGTGTATCTTGCCATATTTTAATATTACTTTAATATACATAAACTAACATATTTTGCTAAGTTTTCTATCTATGCCTAAGTGATCATCACACACACATCAACAGCCTATAAGTGCCCACTGCTGACCAAAGGCCTCTTCTCACACGGAGAAGGTTTGATCATTACTCACCACGCTTGCTCAATGCGAGTTGGAGATTTCAAACTTATAATTTAGGAATTGTAAGATCATCATTCACGTCCACTGCCTCCCACAGTCCTCCCCCGCAGACTACACATCGCGAGGTTGGAAGCGACCTGCATACAGCGACTGTCGCAGACCTTAGGTCTCCTGTCATGGCATAATCACTTTTTCTTCCCTATATTCCAAATGAACAT